ACTTAATCTATTAATAAAGTTTATTGGAGCAAGACTCCGTTGGATATAAAAAAAAAAAAAAAAAAAAAAAAAAAAAAAAAAAAAAAAAAATTTGATTTTGTGAATTTTCAAGTGTTTGAGGGTAATTTGTTGTTGGTTGGTTAAGTTGAGGCAAAGGTGAAATTGGTGAAGTTGTGCTTGGAGGTAATGCTGCTGCTGGATGATAAAAGTTAGGTATGCCAGAATAGTTAATAGGTAAAAAATAATATGGATTTTGTGCTAAAGTAGTTGGTGAAAGATTTAAATTTGTAATCATCTATTTTTAGACGAAATATTTATTAAAATCGTCTAAAAATATAATTAATTGTCTAAAAAATATTGCTTTTTACACCGATTTAATAAATATTTCGTCTAAAAATATTTTTTTTTTAGATGATCTAGAATAATATTTTTAGGCGATTTAATAAATATTTCGTCTAAAAATAAAATTTTTTAGACGATTGATAATTAATTGTCCATAAATCGTCTAAAAAATAATATTTTTAGACGATTAATTATTAAAGCATAAAAATATTGTTTTTTAGACTGATTAAATAAATATTAAATTAAATTATCTAAAAAATATTATTTTTTTGAATAATTTAATGAATATTTCGTCTGAAAATAATATTTTTTAGAAAGATTGATGTTGTCAATGGATTTGATAGTTCAACTAGTAACCTTGATCATAAAATATTTGATGAGAATCAAGATTTTTTCTGTGATCGAAGAGGTTTCAATAGAATTACTCGTGATGTCACTAATAAATATTGTGAAGTTTATGATTTCATTCCAACCGGTAAACTAATGATGAATTTTTACTTCCCGCTCAAAAACAATTTGTATTATGTTATATGCGATATCTCCAAAATGATAAGGTTGATCCTAGTTTTATACCTTCTAAAGCGAAATTTTATGCTTTCGATAATTTCACTTATACCACGGATCAAGTTGATTTAATGATTAAATTAGCAAAAGCAAATTGGTTAGAATCCGAAAAACAAGTTAAAGGAATTATCATCGATACTTGGAAGAAAAAGAGATATGCAAGATTGAATGGAATTAATTTTACATAATTTATAAATAATTTATATCTTAACATAATAAAAATAAATGATAAGTACTTATTTTTATTAAATATTTATTACATGTATTTATGATTTATTAGTAAATATCTTTGAAATGGAAATAAAATTTATTGATTACAAGTACAATTCTTTGGACAAATTTATTAGGTTATTGCGCAGCAACGGCTAATTTGCCCTTTTTTTTTATTATAAGTCCTACTAAATTAGTAAGAACAGTATTTGTTGCCACTTCTCCACATTCTATTTAATACTTCACAGATTTTCATAGGATTAAAGGTCGGAACTATTGGATGACCAATCAATTACTTCACAAAGATGTTGAATAATGATTGGAGGAAAGGATACAAATCTCCTGAAACAAAAAAAGTCTCGTGTCCCCGAGTAAAAATTTTTGATCTTGTTTTTATACTCCCTTATACCAATATTTATTGTATTCCTAAACAGTTGAAAGGCTATTTACGTTTTTCCCAATTATAATTAAGGTGTTTTGTGCCCATTCTAGATGCTTTTGTTTGCGTGCTACTGTCAACATTCTAATTTTTGTTATATCCAAGCATTTTCAGATGTCTCAAATTTGTTAAGTATGATACATTTACACTATTTTAAACAACTTATTTACTAAACTCCATGAAGGTAATGAGGGATTCCTTCTTACATACTGAGAAATTGTCATAGAACTTTATGGGATAATTTTTTTGAACGTCCACAGCATTTTTATGAGCCGCAGCACTTTTTAAGTTTTGAAATGTTATAATAATTGTAGACCTTGGAATATTAGTTCCCTACTATATTTTTCATACATCTTTATAGCAACATTTCACAATGATTTACAGTTTCAGAAATTGTATTTTCACTTTAGTGGCATTCTGGATGGTCATTATTCGAAAGGTCAAAGGCAAAAAGATTATCACTTATTATCAGTCACTAATTTAATTTCAGCTATCAAATATCCAGACTTTTGTATAACAGATTTAATGAATAATTCATTAGATAATTAATGTGCATAAAAAAATAAATGTATTGTTAAAGTGTTAAATAATATAAAATAAACAATTAATTTGTGATTTGTAAGTTAATTGAAAAAAAATCATATGTAATTTTGGTGCAACTTTTTTTCAATAACTAAATAATTTTTATCTTGAGAAAATGGTCAAAATGTCAATTCTTATTTTAAGAACCAAGAGAAACCAAAGAATATTGATATTTTCTCTTTATTTATTATTCAATAATTGGATATGGATTTTCTAGGAATCGCGAGATTTTCAAATTGAATAAAAAGTATTTTTTTTAATATTAAAAAAAATCTATAAATTCATTACATTTTTTTTTAAAAAAAAATTAACATTTGTGAGTCCATATAATGGTATTTTGTCAAAAAACTCAATAATGTTAATTCTTTTTGTAACAATGAATTTTAACAATCAAAAAAAAAAAAATCATGAAAAAATTATAAACCAACAAAGAACAAATTGTGAATTCACAAAAAAAGTTATTATATATATATAAAAAGATAGTAAAACCTTTTTTTTAATGAGTAAAATAAATTTTATATTTAATCACCCAATTTCCTTGTTTGGCGATTATATCTATTTTAAACACCCTATTTGGGATTATTTAGATTGTTTAAAGTTTTCAATATAGTTTCTAAATTTTCGTCAAATTTCTTTGTAAATTTGTTAAATTCATTTTCCAGGTTATTAAATTTTTTTTCAAATTTATTTTCCAGGTTTTTAAATTTTTCATCAACATTTGTAGGACCTGGATTTTCGTATAAAGGTTCATTACTTATTTTATTACAATTAACATCCTTTAATAATTTTTTGCTTGATTTAGAAGTAACAACTTTTAACTGAAAAATTTCTTCATCAATAAATGAAATTTTATCTATTATTTTTGAATAGGATGATTTTAATAGCATTAAAATTAAATTTAAATAAACTTGATTCACGTTAGGATTAAAACGTATAATACACATTCTTATTATCAGTTATCACCTTGATTATAATCATCATTGTCATCATCATTATCGTCATCATCGTCATCATTATCATCATCATCATTGTCATTATCATAATCATCATTGTCATCATCGTTGACTAAATTCTTATCCATAAGACGTAATTTTTGTTTCTCAACCTCTTTAATTTCTTTAAGCCAGGTATCAATAAAACTTCATATTTAGCAATAATTTTAGCGCGACTTCTAAAAGTTTCCGCACGGCTTTTTTTATTTGCTCCATCAAATTCATCACTATGGAATTAAGAGAAATAAAGAGAAATACTTTTACAACTTTTACAACTTTTTTATAACTTTTATAATCTACACGATTTATAATATACTTACTTCATTAATGCAATCAAAATATTTTGGAAAATTAACACTAATATTATACTTCCTAGTATACTCATTACATCTACAGCGTAACTGTCCCATTGTCTAATTGATCCCATCGTCCATTTGTCCAAAATAATACGGCTTCTATCGATGTGAGGAAATGTGAATAATAATTATCAGGTCGGGAAGATTTATCAACATTCTGATAAATTGTTATATTTGAGTACAAGTTTGAATTCGAAGTGTCATTAATTTTATAAGTAGGAATTTGTAAGTCATTCCCATGATTAAGAAGAATGAACCTAATAACAAAATGTAATAAATAAATATTAATGTTTATATGATTAATTAATGAAAATAAAATTCATTAATTATTATAATTACATAGCGTGACCAAATGCAAATACGACAATAAACATGACCACCAAGAATGGCCAAATAATTCTCATAATACTTCTAATTATATAAATAAAACGTCCTGGACCTTCAAAATATCTTGATAAAAATAACTAAGAATAAAAATATTATTAATGGGGACAAATAAGTGTTTACTTCGTCCAGAAAGAGAGAAAGAAAGAAAAGATGACAAAATAGGCCTACCAATTGAGTCCACGTAACTAAAGCTGTAGACGCTAAAAAAAAATTATGTGCTGAATATCGAAAAATGAATGCTATATATGCTGCTGGCATTAACAATGATACTATATCAACCATATTATACAGATTGATATATTTACGTCCTTCTCTTTTGAATTGCACAATCTCCGTAACAATTAAATACCATCCAGTATATATATATACGGAAAAGTTAATTTTTATTATTGTATTTGATTCTATTTTAAATAAATAAGGTGAATATGAACTAACTAATATACCAAATGAAATAACATACAATAAATACAAAATGATATCACGAATAAAATATCGACGGGCAGCTGGCCATTTAAGATCTAAGAATGCCAAAATTGTAGGTGTCTGATAGATTTCACAACCGTTCTCTTCATAAATAACACGAAGGAAAGGATTCATTTCTTCAGGTTTATTAATAACTTTTCTACGCGGCCAAAAAATTGTATATAGAACCCAAAGAATGAGGTTGGGATCTTTGGGATTTGCTGTAAAATCAAATAATGGAGCTATATAAACTTTACGATCATTACTTGAAGTTTGAAACCAATAATATAAGTTTAAAACACTTTTTTAAAAAATTGAAAATTAGTAAAAAGACAAAAATAACATAACTCTTTATAATTAACCAATAATTATAATTACCTTGTAAATGGGTCTTTTAAGAAAAACCATAGAGTATGATAGAAATTTGATGCAAGACGGGGTTTTACTACCAAAGAATGCATCACCGATGTGTTATTTCCTCTTTTTTTATCATAAGGAGTAATATGTAATGGTGGGGTATAAGCTTCAGTAATCCCAAAACATGGTTTTTTGAACAAATATCGAACAAATTCACCTTTTGAAAAATTAAAAAGAAGTTTAACTCGATTTAAAAGTGACTAATTAATCAATATAATTAAACAAAATAAAGATTTTGACTTACTTAAATTATTATCATATAATAAAGGTATTGCTTTGCTTACAGTGAACATCCAACCATGATTATTATATTCTTTAGTATTATCAGCATAATAATCTATCAAATATTTTAAAATTACTGTAGAATCTCCTCTTTCTTGAGTACATTTAATAGCATGATGCAAATCTGACTTTGATCTTTCGGTCGTTGAACTTTTTTTATCTTCATAGACCTTCCATTTACATAAACTCGGAATATATATATTACTATTTTTTTTATCAATTTTCTTTTTTAAAATATGTCTTATTAAACTTTCTTGATCACTTTTAATAAGATATTTCATAATTGGATATCTAATACTTGTTAATCTAAATATTCCATATTTCGTAATATATCTTCGTATTAATTTTTGTGTACATTCAACCAAATATTTCATTCGATTGACATCCGCGAAACTGGTTATGGAATGTTCATGCTTTTTCTTTCCTAATACAAAAAGTGATCGACATGCCGCTTCAAGAACATTTACATTATTTGGCCAGTGTATCGTCATTATTTTTGCTGTGTGAAGTTCTTTAGAAGGCACAGAAACTCTTAACTCAAATTCTCGTTCTCCAACTCTTAGTTTTTGAACTTTCATCTCTTTATTTCGAGCCGAAATGTATTCTAATATTCGTTCTTTATAATTACTACGATATTTCAATTTCCATACTTGTATAGTGTTATGCGATATAATAAGTTGAGTACTTTTGGCAGAATCCAAGAAAACTGATATTCGAAAATAATTTTTGTTTAGATGCCATGGTTCAACTTTATTTATAATCATTTGATCCATTTGATCACATATTTTCCCATCTACTGTATAAATTACACGATCGACGCCATTCGTAGGAATGTCAATTTCTGTTATTGCCTTCACTGAAGAATCTCTAATTGAATCCACATCTTCATTTGGATCTAACACCGAAAAATATCTTCACTGTCTTCACTGTCTCTAATCGCAAACACCTCCCCATGAGAATTCATTAATCTATATGTGAGATCCATTTTTAGGGGTTTCTTGGTTTTGGGATAGTCAGTTTGACGTATATAATTTTTAAAGGTGGTAAATAAATCCCATACTACAAATATTTGATGATTCCTAGAATTTTTACGTTGTCGATCTTCTTTTTCTTCAAGAACTATTAAAAGTTTATTATCAGCATCAATAAAATTTATATCCAGAATTTTATAAATTCTTATTTGACCTTCTAGTTGTTTAGTAGTTATTTCTAAACCATTTTCCATAGAGTATAACGTAATGCTAGTAGATTACCGACAAAATGCCAACATTTTTCATTTTGAGAGATGGCAAAGATTGGAGAATCTCGAATTATGTCGGGAGCTTTATGTCGTTTAAATAACATCTCTAGATCACCAGCGATTAAACTATACATTTCAATGATTTGTTGTCGATTTTCAAAAGAATATACCATAAAATAGTTTTTAATAATAGTTTTGTGTAAGAGTTTAAATGATTTTTGCCATTTATCAAGTGAATGACTCTTTGAAAGTTGTTTTGAAAGTTGGTGGGGTAATTTAAATTGTTCAAATTGTTCACGTTGTTCGAATGGTTTGAATCGCTTAATCTTGGTTGATCGTGAGAAAAGTCCTTGTTTTCTTTTTGTGTTTTTTATAGTTTCTTTAAAAATTCCCGATGCATTAACTATAATGATTACTGCTTTGTTTTTTAACGTTTGATCTCTATAATTATTACCATCATCATCATCACCATTATTTTTATTACCATCATCATTATTACCGTCATCATCATCAAGAAATTTTATTACGCCTCCAATTGATTCTAAGGAAGTATATATTTCATTTCCATCAGCAGTAGAGATAAACCCATGTTTGTGGATCATCATATTGGATATTAGCTCCACTAAATTCTAAGTCACGTTCGTTAACACTACCACCACTAGATTCTATTTTATTTTCATGAATTTCGAATGTTCTTCTATCGAAACAAGATAAAGCGATAAGACTTTCGTCATCGTTTACACAATTAGATATTGCTAAAGACCAACAAGGGTGTTTAAAATCACTTTTAAATCCACCAATCGGATTACTTAGATTATTAATTCCATATAACTTGATTCCGCTCGTTTCTATTATTTTATGAATTATTGAAGATTCGATATTAAAAATTTATCAAAATCATCAAAAAATCATCGAAGATAAAAAGAAGTAATCGAGATAATAATTAAAAAATAATAAAAAATTTTTTTACCTGGATCAAAAGTGATAATTTGTTGACCATCTGGACTGATTACTGTTTGATTACCGAAAAAAAAAGAATCTTTCTTTGTAGAGCTAGTTATAGATTTACCCGAGGAAATTTTGTCATTTTCATTAAAAGAAATTGAATGATCTTTTTCTGACATGTTTTATGATCATGATACTTCAATGGAAGTAAATTTATATTTTTTTATATAGGTATCCGGATGATCACCTTTGTATTTAAACTTGTGAATCATTAGGGAATCATTAGGGAATCATTGGTTATCTATTTATTGGTTGCCATGTGTGCACATAAAAAATATGTTTGACTGCGCAAAAAAAGCAAGTTTTTTGATCAACTTGATTTTTTATGTCAAATCTTATCAATTAGAGAATTTACAAACCTCCTATTAAAATTAATATCATATAGTAATCAAAAATGGCAGAAACGATACAGTTAACCTCGAGCAAAATAATACTGAACTCAAGAGAAAAGTATACTTACGAAGGTACATTATAAAATTCTCAGCATTTCAACACAATTAGCACAATTCTAATTCCAAGCTACTCTTGGTGTTGAATTAATAATAAATTATTAAATAAATGTATATGACATTATTTAAAACGAAGATCAACTCAAGTAAAAGATACTGAAATATATTGAATATGAAATGAAATGGAGAAATTACCTAAAAAGAGAAAGGATCGTTTAGGTAAATTATATTATAAAAACAAGAATTTTATTTTGAATTGATAATTTATTATTATTATTATTATTTAATTGTAGAGGCATAAAATGAAAAGATACGATATCCGATTATAAAAATTGTGATGACACTTTCTTATGGCATCAATATATAAAATCTGACAGATAATCGGAGCGGGAAAAATTATTATCGAGTAAAATTTTGGAAGGTAAATATTAAATGTAAAAAATAATAAAATGTAAATTTTACCTCTAAATTAATTCTTCTGTTCGTGATAATATAATTTAATGATCATTAATAATCGTTATTTTAAAATAAATTTATAGAGCAATTCAAAGACATCCAGATAATCTAACGTTTTATGCTCTCGCAACAACGTTGAAATTTGAAACGAATGTCAATATTATATTAGCGAGAGGTATCTTGTGTTTCTTAGATTATTGATTTTTTGGATATTTATTTAATAATAATAATAATAATTATAACGCAACTTTCTATATATGTGGCATTGATGCAACGAGGTTTACGGATGATTCTTACCTCAATTGAACTTTGGAAGGAATATTTTAAATTAGGTTATAATATTTTAATGAGATTAAAGTGCAATAATTTTATTAGATCCAATAAAAGAAGAGAAAAGAAGAGGTCGAGACAGATCCTAATAATATGGACGATTAGATGATAAGAGAAAAATAATGATTCTAATTATTCTCAATCAGATAATGAAATAATTACAATAATTATGATGGAGTAGTAATAATCGTAATAATAATCATAATAATAATGGTGACGGTGGTGATGATGATGATGGTGAAGATAATGGAAAAAATAAAAGGTAAGAATATAAATTATATTGTGCATATATTTAATTAAATCATTTGTAATAGCTTTCAAAAAAAAATAAGTTTTCGAATATCTTTATTAGTATTTGCCGTCAATACCTGATACGCTTAAAAGTAAATTGACGACTTTAAATTATTTATTCCGAGAACAATATTTATATATATATTTATCATCATCATTATTATTTGTATAGTACCGAAAAAGACTTCGAATTCACTATTATAAAAAGGACTGTTTAATCATATCGAGAAAACGTTGAGACTGGGCAGCAAAAGAACTATTATTATGTTTGTTTACCGGGTTCTCAGACGATTAATGCAAAGAACTTTGGTAATTATATTATTCATTTATGTGATCCGATCAAATTTTTATTATTTTTATTCAATTTTTGATTTTCTTTTCCTTTTTAACTGCGAAATTATTTAGCAAGAAGAACCTTTCATACAATAATGGCTTCATCACAAATTTTCATGCAAGTGAATTTTAATAAGGAATGAATTTGATGAATCAAAATTCGAGCAGATTCAAGAAATAATCCTAAAAGTGATGTAACTTTTCCCTCATAGTACTGACTTGTAGTTAAGAAGAATTAATTTAGTATGAAAATTCGAGAAAATCGCTAGAACAAGTATACGAATTGATTTTAATCATGATCGTACTTCCCAAGGTTTATGGAATTCATATGTCTCGTGGATTTATATAATTGGGAGATTGAAAACAAAATCTTCTTGGTTAGTTCATATTGATCTTATTATTAATCGTATTTGAAATTTTTTAAAAATATTTATACTCTTTCTCGAATTTATTAATAGAATGCTGCCTCGATGTTGCTTCCACTCCATGCCGTGCTGTTGAATGAAGACGGAAAATATTAAAGATAATTGCGACCCAATATATAAATGATAGGGGTCTTGGAAAAGATTCGCCAAGTCTACAAAGAGTACATATAAATTTATTATATTAATTCATTTCATTTCATAATTAAACCTTTTTTTTCAATATATTTGCACATTTATGTATCTTACTCTTTTATCGCTATTCTTCTTTCTTTATATATATTTGTCTCCTTTCAAAAATTCCCTCCTTATTTTTCGATTATGAAGCAGGCTTGGTAAAAGGCCAAGATGTAAGTATACCGAATTCAAGATACAAACTTTAAAATTCTAAAAGATGTCAGTTCATCTTTCATCGGACTTTGGAGATAGTATTATTTATATTATTCATTATTAATCGGAGTTGTTATTTTACATGACCGAAATCTAGAAACTTTAGGTATTTTAGGAATGAACAGGTATAACATCGGAAATTAATTTCGCGTTAAAATCAAGCTTACTAAGTGATCAATTCTCTTGTATCACGATAACAAAAAAAAAATGAAATTAAACTCTTATTAACATTATTCTAATCTTTACAATAACAGATGAGCAATGGAAACGCTACACTTTGTATTATAAAACCAATTGTTGATAGAACTATTTCATCTACACTTTCCCTTTCATCTTCGGTATTAGTATTTTTTTGTTTCTAAAACCATTATCATTACTTCTAGTAATTATTTTTTTGGTTAACTGTTAATAGTGTATTATCGTGGGGTACTGATTGGTTGATTTTATCAATTTTATCTCTGATTTCCTTTCTATTTAATTCAAAATAAAATAAAATAATTTCTCAGAATCGAAATTCAAATCCTATTTCAGAATTTTAAAATAATATTAATAAGATTATCTATTTACACATATCCTTTAATTTTATTTGTATGTTTAGAATTTTTTTAATATCAAATGAAAAGATGTTTTATCCAAGAGATATTTATCCTGGCAACTTAAATAAACAATTCTTGTGTTATCAGTTCTTAAACAAATAAAATAAAATTAAAAATAAATAAAATATAATTTATAATAAAATAAAATAAATTATATATTGTCACACTTGTGCAGAGTTTTTTGAACAATTTCTCAAATCAGTCTCAAAGTTTGCATCACACAAACATAATAATATGCTCTATCTGCCAGTAGGTCACAGCTAATACAATCGATTTAACTGGCCTATCTCGAAACAGATAATAAATATATATAAATAATAATAATAATCAAATAATAATCAATTAATCATGAAGGCACAGTGAGTAAGGTGGAGTAAAAGCAATTAACACAGTATCAAACAATATTTAATAATATTTTGCAATATTACAACACAAGATGTAAGTTTATTAAAGTATAAAATGTATAGTTTTTAAAAGTAAAGTATAATTCAGCAACAGAAATATTATCATGTGTTAGGATGTCTATTTTACTGTCCCTGAAGTAAGTTTACTTTTCTATCTAATAATAATTAAAATATTTTGGTATATTCCGTTATACTAAGTAATAATTAATTAACTTGCTGGTACAATCTGAACTACTGAAACTTACAACTGACAACAGTTGTATTTATACTTTCTCTTTTGTTTACACTTCATCCTTCATCTTTGTACTTCAGTCTTCATCCCGTATACAGTCATCTCACCTGGGATAACAATTACCTGAATGTTCATCTAGTGCCACAATTTATAAACCCCGTGACATTTCACCTGATTACCAATTTGTGTCACAATAATAAATAAAATATAATTTATAATAATTTATGATAAAATAAAAATAAAAAATAAATTTATAATAATAAAAAATAAATAAAATATAATTTATATTAAAATATAATTTATCATTTAAGAATTGCGGGATCTTTTTCAAAATTTGGCTATTTACAGGTTTGGAAAATTGAGAAGTCCACCGGTATAAATTGCTTGTAATTAAGTGAGGTTGAAGTTGTAACTAAGTGAGTATGGGTAAATGGAATTTTTGTAGAAGTAAAAAAAAAACCGTAATAAAAAAAAATATAACATAATTCAATTAGAGATTATCTTTGTTTGTAGTACACTTTACAGTTCGTTTACCTAATTCAGGTATTTATAAATATTTGTTATCATTATATATTTTTTTAATGATTTGCTTTGTTGTTACAGCACAGCATGGGGTTAGACTATTAACAGTATGACAATATACGCCTGATTTAACAGATGCATTTTCATCAACGTTATTTTTAGTATGTTGATAAAATATATTCAGACAGAGTGCCTATATAAAAAAAATTATAAAAGTGAATATAAATTTACTTCCATTGAATTGTCATATTCCCAAAAAATGTCAAAAAAACATAAGGAACCCTTGTCGTTAAGCACCACCACAGAGAAAGATTCTCTATTTTTCAGTAGTTACGTAGCGAAAAGTCCAGATAGTCAACAAATTGTTACTTTTAGTCCAGGTAAAGTTAATTATTAAATAATTTTAATAATTTTTAATAATTTTTTAAATAATTCATAAAATAATAGGGACATAAGAATTTAAGTTATATGATATTAATTATTTAAGTTCAAGTAAACATATTTCTACACCTGGATATGGAAGTAATGATAAACACCTTTGTTAGTCTATAGCAATATCCAATTGTGTAGATGATGATGAACGTTTATTGCATTGTCTTGTTTTGATGTAAGAAGACTTTATAATGATATAATGTATGGCGACAACGAAGGTGACTTAGAATCTGGTGAGAAATATCTTCGTCCTCAAATGTGGGTTGTCTATACTAATGATGATGTAAATGAAATATATACTTCTTCAATTAGTGGTGTTATAAGATTTATTGATAGTGATGATAGTCTGTTAAAAAACAAAAGGGTAATCATTATAGTTAATGCGTCAGGAATTTATAAAGAAATCATGAATAATGTAAAAAGACAGGGGGTTTTCACACAATCATCCGAGATTGAGCAATTCGAATTACCCCAACAACTTTTCATCTTTCACGTGATAATTGGCATAATTCATTAGAACTCTTACACACAAGTATTATTAATATCATTTTATGGTTCATTCTTTTGAAAATCGACAACAAATCATCGAAATATATAGTTTAATTACTGGTTATCTAGAGATGCTATTTAAGCGTCACGAATCTTCGTTAGCTCCCAGCATCCTCCTATCCTTGCCATCTCTCAAAATAAAAATATTTTAGTATTTTGTTGGGGAACCACAAGCATTACATTATTCTTAATGGAAAATGGTTTAGAAATAACTACTAAACAATTAGAAGGTCAAAGAGAAATTTATAAAATTGTGGATATCAATTTTATTGATAATATTATCCCTCGTTGTGCATATGGTAGCCTTATCTCACCACATGTAATTGGGGGACGAGAAGTCCTGCACAAACGTTGATAAGTTGGATGTGGCAAGGATTAGAAATTTTTTTGAAGTTATGAAATGACTGCAAAATATTCATGCTCAAATGTTCCCTCAGTATGATTACTAGCCAAAGGGTTCAATCTCCTTTCAAATTTTATGATTGGAGAGTTATGTAGAAATTACACATCAACCCATCTTGACGAATATTTAAAAAGTTGAATAACTACTATTTTGATTATCGTGAAAATAAATTTTGAAAATAATAATTTTTTTTTTTTTAAACCAACGGAGCCTTACTCTAAAATGTTTATTTTTATTGTTAAAGTAAATAAAAAATTTATAAAACAAAAGTACATGAGGGAGTTTGCTAAAATTAATTACAATTTACGGCATGGCCCATCGTAACTGAGAAACTGATTAGCCAAAGCCCTGTCAGTTAATTTTAAAATAATGTGAAGTCCCTTTTATGCTAACACCATTCACAAAACCACTTTTTTTGCATAAAAAATTGCTGTGTATAAAGAGTTTTTGATATCCTCTGAACCATAGTCTTTATCATAATTAAATATATTGTAATGTATCTAATTGACATTGTTCATTTAATATTATGTCATCATAAATCCTTATACTGTCCTGTGATTGTGTTAATTGTATTATTATTGGTGAAGTTTAGATTTTTTCTGTCCCAATTTTTTTATCCTTGGAACTAATGTTTTGGCTTTTTTCCCATATCAAGATTTTTCACAATGATATTTCCATATACATATGAAATAAATGAAGTTTGAATTTGATCATGTTTTTAGATATAACTAACTTACTATCTTTGTAGTTTCCTGTTATCTCTTCGAAAAATGGCACAAGAGTGTTAGGAATTATTCCTGCAATTATATCCAGAAAACAGATTGATTAGTGATATCAAAGTCTATTGTATAAAGTTTCAATTTTCTTTTCAAGGCTTCTAATTGTAGATTTGTTGTAAAACATTTGCAGTTTCGTGAATGAGGATTTTGGTTAATTTTTCTTTCAGGTTAGTTAATGGATTAGATCCTGATTGAGTAAAACATGTAAAAATATGTATATTATTTTTTAATTTCTATTTGACAAAAATTACATGTATTTGAAGTATATAGCAATGGATTTCTTTTGTGAAGATTGTCTAGTCTAGGTAGTTCATTATTAATTAATTTGAGTGAGAATTTTCTCATAGCAGCCTTCTCAAAACTTGAAAAAAGTGAAGAAATTTTTGTTTGATGAACAGTTTTCCATGGTAGTTCCCAGTTTATGTTTTTTGCTTTATTTGTATGAATCCACAATCTAGTTCTGTTTTGTTGTAACCATTTTTGATTCCATATTTCACTACTGAGTTTTTTGGTCATTGTTTTAATTGAAAATTCTAGTGTCAAATCATTCCATGTAGGAATTACTTTTAAATGATTTAGTGAATGGCTATTGATACTAATTCTTGGATCTTTAAATGGAGCTATACTTGATACCTGAGCTAAATGATCTGCCATCTCATTATATTCAATATCTGCATGAGCTTCTACCTTTTTGAGACAAATTTTCGTTTTAAGTTCATGAATTATTTGTTGAGCTGCTGCAGAAAGTATTATATTATTATCATATATTTTCTCTTTATTCCCTAACAAATTGTTCAAAATTCCATTAAAAACATTAATTGCTCCCTGACTATCTGAAAATACCTCAACTTTATACCCCTTTGGTGCAATTGCTATTGCTATAGTTATTGCTAAAATTACTGCTTTTGTTGATGAGGGAAATAATTATATAGTACATCTAACTCAATATTTTTGTAATAATATCTGAAGTTGGAATAATCCATCCCAGACCCATTATATTACAACCTTGAAAGTCTTGTTTAGAATCATCTATATATACAGAATAAGATTTAACATGTGATATTTCTTCTGCAACTCTTAATAATTTTTTAATTATTACATCTGTTGTAATAAACCATTTGTTAAGAAATTTCTCCTTGATTGTCATGTCCAACCTTTGATGATCAGGTACCTCAGATTGAGAAGATAAAACTTGACTATCTTTTTCCATTTTATTTCTATTTATAGTATCAGATGTCTCATTTATTATTCGATAAGTTTTAACTATATCTGATAGTGGCATTTTGATTCTTGGTTTATTTTTATTTGGTAGTAGTTGGGAAGTTGATACTTTACTTCTTTTAACTGGAATTTGTAAGATTTCATCTCTTTTCATTAGCACCAAGCATCTATTGTCTTTCTTATTATTATGTGTATTTAGAGGACATTGATCACATGGAAGTAAACGTTCTAGATTCCTACCCAATTGAAGATAATGTTGTACTAAAACTTTGTCTGATGAAAAATTATCAAACTTTCTCTTTCTAATTTCTTTGCCTACAGTTATATGTTTATAAAATTCTTTTGAAAACCAAATTCCATTATTTTTTTGAAAAGATGAACAAAGGTCAATGTATGGATTGATGTCATTGTAGAAATTCTTCATTTGAATTTTGAAAATAATAATTAAAGCTGAAGAATTTTCCAAAATCATACAACTGATATGACAATTACAACTCCAGCAAATCTTCCAAAACCTAAAAATGAAAAAACTTGAAGAATTAGCAAATCTTTTTATCAAATAAATGTTTGTAAGTATCAATTTATATTAATTCTTATTTTTTATTAGATGTATCCAAATTATCATCATCGCCTAATTAAAAATTTTATTTGATGTTATATATTTTTATTTATATGTATTTAGAACTATTTATTAATTTCTGAAATTATAAATCTTGACACTAAGTGTAAGTGTAAAGTATGAAATTATGAATTCAAATAACTAAGTTTGTAATTGAGATTTTTTATTAAATAAGTGCTTTTAGTTGACAAGCCAACTAAGCTTATTTAATTTTTTGATAGCCGAAAAAAAAAATTTATTCTTGTCTTAAATAGGAAAAAAGTTGCATTCTTTTCCCAAAAGGGAATAAAGAATAATTCGATTTATTCAAAAGATTATCTGTTATACAGTAGTTTATGTAGTATAAAGAAAGTTTTAATATTGCCTTAATTTTTTTTAATATTCACTTATACGCTAATTTTGCCAAATCATAACCTTGATTCTTCTGTCATAATATTATCGTATTTTGTCGATATTCAAGTCAAGATAAGTCAAGATTACATTTATTTGAAATAAGGATCTTCCGACTTACCTATTTTGACAACTTTAAACAATGGTTGAATTTATGGTTGCAATTTGGATTTTAATATATAATGTCCTTATTTATTACTTACGACAGCAACCCTTAAAGTAACCATATCCGATTATGCCATTACCGTAGGAATTTATTACATTTATGATCGTGCCGTCAAAAAATTTAGTAGTTCGAGTAAAATATTTGAAGGTAAATATTGAAAATATTGTAAATGTTAAAAAAATAAGCTGTAAAATTTACATCTAAATTAATTTATAATAATTATACTTAATATTCTTCTATTCGTGATATAATTTTAATGATAATAATTTAATGATCATTAATAATCGTTATTTAAAATAAACTTATAGAGAAATTCAAGCACACCTAGATAGGCCAACATTTTATGTCCTCTAACAACGTGGAAATTTGAAACTAATATACGCGAGAGGTACCTTTTAATATCATACAATCCTTAGATTATTAACTTTGGATATTTATTTAATAGTTATAATAATAATAATAATAATAACTTTATATTGTGTTGATGGCACGAGGTTTATGGATGATTCTTACTTCAGCTGAACTTTGGAAGGAATGTTTTGAATTAGAGTCTCGCCGTGCAATAATTTCATTAGATCCAATAATGAAGAGAAAGAATAAGTTAATAATAAGAAATGCGGTTTATGATGATAATGGTGATAATGCTGATGATGGTGATGATGCTAATTATATATACGTATTTTGTGTGTTTATTTAAAATTTAGCACATTTTTTTTTAAAGCTATTACAAATGATTTAAGTTTTAAAAGAATTTATTGATATTTGCCATCAAATACCTTGATAAGCTTAAAAGTAAATTGATGACTTTAATATATAAAATTATTTATTTCGAGAACAATAAATATTTGTCAATATTATTTTGAATAGTATTGCAAAAGGCTTTAGAAATTGTACAGGAACCAGATCATTTTTCTGAAAGAAACATTTGGTCTTTATGTAAATAGTCTTGAATGTATTACTGTTATAAAAAGGACTTTGGAGAGTGTCGAGAAAGCGTTGAAGAGTTGGGCGGCAAAGAACTTCTATATTGTGTTTGCATGCACAACCCTCCGAAGAAATATTGGTAATTAAATTATTTATTTTTATTACTTTTTTTCGATTAATTGACAGCGAAATTATCTGGAAAGACTAGACTATTATCAAGGACCTATGCTAGAAATCTTTGTGCAAATGTGGCCTCACCATAAATGTTATCTGGATGGATTGACTAGATTTTAGTTAGTAATGAATCTTATGAATCAAAATTCGAGCAGATTCAAGAAATGATCCTAAAAGCGACGGAACTTTTCTCTTATTTGTGGTTAAGAAGAATTAATTTTAGTTGGAACATTCGAGATAATCCACTAGAACAGGTATCCGAATTGGTTTTAAGTCATAATCTCACTTCTCAAGGTTTATGGATTCTATGTTTCATGGACTTTATAGAAGTGAGATTAACGAATTCAAAAACAAAAAATGGAAGCAATAATCTTGGTTTTATATCAACAATTATTGATCATATCATCAATCATATTTGAAATTTTAAATATACTCTTTCTCGAATTTATTAATAGAATGGTGTGTCTCGAAGGTTGCTTTCATCCATACCGTTGAAAGAAGAGATAAAGATTGGGCACACGCGATAGAGGTCTTGAAAGACTCGCAAGTCTACAAAAGTATATATAAGAATTATTGAACTAATTCATTTCATTTCATAATTAAACTTTTTTTCATAAGTTCACATAATATAAAGTATATATCTCTACTATATTCTTTTTTCTTATTTCTCTTATTTATCGTATCATTCTTTCTTTCTTTATGTAATATAGCCGCCTGTCAAAAATGATTCACTCCCTGTCCAAAAGTTTAGGACCATATATTAAATTTACTTGATAAATATAGTAATTTTTAAAAATTTCACTATATAATTTTTATATTATTATACATAATATATCTATATTTTTATAAAATAATTAATTTTAATATATTAAAAATATACTGAGGTTTTTATCATCCATTAAAACACCTTTAAAATAATTTTAATAGTAAATACAAAAAACTCATGAAATATTTTAAATCTGTAAATTTAATATAAGATAAAAGGGAGGTATTATGGCGCGGGTGCATAACCGGATAAATTTTGTACCATTCATTTGTCTCACCAAGACGAATCAGTATGAAAGTGATCTTTTTCTCAACGCAATTGATCGCAGATTATAAAATTAATATTTTTAAATAATAGTATTATATATTATTCTGACATTAGCAAAGAATATTATATGTCTAAAAATAATAAAAATTGTTATCTATGTCCACGCAATTTAATCATTAACTAAATATGTCAACCTGCGTCAGATATCCCTTAAAATTAAAATTTATTTAGTAATAATAAAAGTTACGCAACTGCAAATTACTGTATTTTTTTTTATTATAGATTTAAAATTAATAAATTTGTTACCAGTTAATTCTTTTTTTATGAACATTTATTGGTGAGTTATAAAAAAGTTTAACTGTGCCATGATACCTCCTAAACTTTTGGACAGGGAGTGTAAGCTTGCATCATAACGAAAAAAATAGATGCGAATTCAAAAGATATAAACTTTAAAATTCCAAAAAGCATCTTTCATTGGACTTCGGGGATATTATTCCTTAATATATTTTTTTTATTTTTCAATCGGAGTTGAGCGATATTTAGAAAATTTAGGAATTTTCTAGTTAACATTAATTTCAAGCTTTGGAAATAAACAATTTCTTGTATCATATCATAAAAAATGAAATTATTTTCTTATTAACGTTATCATTATTTCTAGTAATTATATCTTTGGTCAGCTGTTAGGGGGTACTGGTTGGTTGATTTTATCAAATTTTATTTAAAATCTTAATAAAATATTATAAATATATTATAAATAAATAAACAATAGATTACGTAATATACTTTAATATATAATACTTTTCAACTATTTATTATTTTTTTTTCGCAATTCACTAATTAAATATGCATTTATTATTTTTTTATAGTGGTGAACCTCTTAATTTCAAAAATAAGAATTTGTTTTATTTATGTAATCCACTTTGAATATTTATTTATTATTAAAGATTCCAAAAACACCTTAATGAAATGTCAACCAAAAAAAATAATTATTTTATTTTATCATCCAAATTGATACGTTAGAAATCCAAAAATGAAAATCACATCACATGGATTTTACAAGAACGAAATGGTGATCGTCAAAGGAACAAATTGATCATATCGCAAAGTACATCTCATAACTTTCAGGCCTGATGCAGCGACTTGACTCTATGGTTATGGGAACCTTTGAACCAAAAAAAAATTTTTTTTATCTTCTGCTTTAAATAAATTTTATTTTTTTCCAAAAAGGCCCATTTATTATTTATGTTAATAAATTAAAAATAGTAGAAATAGGAAATAAGAATATTCTTTAATTTTATATGTTTAGAATATTCACTTTATAATATAAATGATTGTTCTTTTGATGATTTCTTTAATACATAAATAAAAAATTAAATTAAATTAATATACTGTAATTAATAATATAATAAAAAATAAATAAAATATAATTTATAATTTAAGAATTATTGGAGTCTTTTTCATATAATCACTAATTATTTACAGGTTTTTAAATATTTGGAAAATTGGGAAGTCCACTAGTATAAATTGCTTGTTATTTGATTCGCAGATAATTTTTAATTTAAGTTTTAATTTCAAAATAATCATCTCAACTAAGTGGATCAATGGATAAATACATTCTTTGGTCGGCATATGGAAGGTAGAAGTAAAAGAAAGGAATCCCATAAACTTGAACATGGAGTCGAGTAACCACATTTATGTAGTGAGAGAAGATAAAATAACAAACAATACATTTTTTTTCAATATTGTCAAACTTTATGATAAAGATTTGTCCATTTTTTCTAATTCATTTAAATATCAAAAATCAATACTATAAAACAATTAGTTAGAGAATACACATTCTTTATCCTTGTTTTATAGTACTTCCACAGTCATATTCGTTCCATTAACAGAACGTGCAACTATTTCAATTAGAAATTATAATAATTATAATTATGTATGTTACGCATTTGAAACTTTATTAACAGGTATTGCACTATATTAGGTACATTTTATTTAAATTAATCAGTGCGGATATCATTCATCATTCATCATCGACATTTTTAGTAGATGTGCTTTCTTTTTAAATAATAAATAAGTAATATAATATTGTGGCGACACGGAAACGTTCGTGACCACTGAAGGTGGCGGACAGAGGTGGTAGTTGCACCAAGTAGATTATGCGCCACCAATTGGGTGAAATACAAGGTAATTATTTATTCACCCTCGCACAACACCTTCAAGTAGCAAAGTATGGGTAG